CTTTTTCTCTTTTCAAGCCTTCTTTTCCTTCACTTACCTCAAATCTAAATTTTTATAGATTTTAGCTATATTTTATAAAAGATTCTATTTTATTTTCACTACGCATATGTGTGTGTGTGTGTGTGTGTGTGTGTGTGTGTGTGATAAAAAGAAAATGTCGCTGAGCGTGGTGGTGCACACCTTTAATCCCAGCACTTTAATCCTAGCACTCAGGAGGCAGAGGCAGGCAGATCTCTGTGAGTTCAAGGCCAGCCTGGTCTACATAGTGAGTTCCAGGACAGCTGGGGCTACAGGGAGACCCTATCTCAAAAAGACCAAAAAAAAAAAAAAAGGAAATGTCTTTGTAATTAAGACATATAGAAGAAGGGACTGGAGAGCTGGCTCAGCGGTTAAGAGCACAGAAGTTCTTGCAGTTGACCTGAGTTCAATTCCCAGCACCGACACTGGGCAACTCACAACTGCCTATGACTCCACCTCCAGGGGCATCCAAAGCCTCTGGCCTTCATGGGCACCCATTTGAGCCTCTACGTACACACACGTACACACACGTACACACACACACACACACACATACACACACACAAACACACACACAGAGACAGACATAATTAAAATAGTAATAATAAAAGAAATGTAGAAGAAATTAGAAAAATATAATTTGGAATGCATTAGAATGCTAAGAATAATGTGTAAAAGCTTGAAGAGTTAATGGGATATTTTCATAATTTCAAAGTATTTCCCTACAAGATTCCAATTAATTAAAAAGAGTAACAGAATAATTTTGCAGAAGAAAACCTGAACCAACTTAGTCAAGTGATGAAAGTTACTATCATCAACATAGAAAATATCAAAAGCATGCATTGCCTGACAGGATACACTGAAAAGACATCATTTCTTCATTTGTACTACAAAGAACCCCAATCTACATTAGGGCAGCATGAGCCAAAGCTAAACTGGGGGAGATCCTACACAGCATTTTTCAAAAATGTCAAGACCAAGAAAGACCAAGAAAACTAAAGAGACGCGACAACTAAAAGCTGTGTGGTCTTGGCCTTGAACTGGACCAGCAACAGAAACATTGCTGAGAATATTCCTGAGAGCAGGACACAATGAGTACACTGGGAAAAATGGCCAGTGTCCTTCAAATGTCTACATCATGAAAAACAAAGGGAGTCTCAGGAGCTGTTTCACATTAAAGGGAACTTATTTCAAAGACATGACAACAATACAACTGTGATTCATGACTTTATTATAAAGATGCTGTTAGGACAATTAGAAAAAAGTGAAAAGGGTCTGCATATTAAACTTTAAGAAAATTTTTTATTTTTATTTTATGTGTATGCGTGTATTGTCTACATGTAGGTAAGTGCATTTGTGTCATGCAGTGCCCAAGGAGGGTAGACAAAGCTGTCGGATCCCCTGGGACTGGAGTTATGGACAGTTGTTAGCTGCCATGTGGGTGCTGGGATTCAAACCCAGGTCTTCTGCAAGAACAACCAGTGTTCTTAACCACTGAGCAATCTCTCCAGCCCCAGGTCTGCATATTAAATAACAGTTTTTTACCATATTTATTTTCCTGATTTTGATATTTTACTGGGCTTATGAATGCCTTATTCTTAAAAATACATTTAAAGTATTTATAAGTAAAAGGGCATTGTGTCTAAAATTGATTTTCAAAGAGTTTATTTAGAAAGTCTGTGTGGGAAGGGGAGAAAGGATAAAGCAAATGTGGTAAAATGTCAACATTTGAGAAAACTTAGCAAAAAGTCACCAAGAATTATTACAACTTTCCTGTAAGTATGAAACCAACTCAAAGTGAGAAGTTAAAAATATAAAGCACTTGTGTTTTCTTGAGCTGCATGCTCTTCTTTCCTCTTTGCTTTTACTATCTCTCTCCTACCTAGTCTAGATTTTATAATATTCTAAGTAGGGCAGCTCCTGGAATGGAGCTCCAGTCAGTTCATTTAAAAAATTCGTGCTACCAGGCCTGGTAGCTTGCACCTATAATCCCCAGCATTTGGGAGGCTGAGGCAGGAGGCTTGCCACAAGTCTAAGGTCAGTCTGAACTATTCCTTACTTAAAACAAAGTTTGCAGTATAGTTACATGATTTCTTATAGGTAAGAAGAGAGAGAATAATAAACACAGAAGCTGGCACAGGCCTGTAATCTCAGCATTTAAGGAGGCTGAGGCAGTAAGTTTTCAAGTTCAAAATCAACCTGGACCAAAGAGTGATACCCTGTCTCCACAAAAAAAAAAAAAAAAAAAAAAAAAAGGTGTGTATGGGGTGTATGTGGGGAAAACACTGATCTGGCCTATAACCAGGCCAAGTATGGTGCCTAGGATCGTAGCTCTCATGAGGAAGACTGTTTGAGGCCAGCCTGAGCTACACTGTGAAACCTTATCCCAAAAATCAAAGGCTGTGGATACTTCTATGTGGTATACCTCTTACATAGCATGTGTAAAGCTCTGGGTTCAATCTCTAGTACACACACACACATACAATCAGACAAATTCAAGGCCAAGCTGAGCTACATGAGATCCTTCTTCAAAAATAAATAAAACAGATAAAATGTTAAAATAACTGAATAAGGGGCTGGTGAGATGGCTCAGAGGTTAGGAGCACTGGCTGTTCTTGCAGAGGACCTAGGTTCTATTCCCAGCACCCACATAGCTGCTAATAGCCATCAGTAACTCTAGTTCCAGGGGACTCCAATACTCTTTTCTCACCTCTGCTGGCATTGCATGACACAGGTGCACTTACACACATAAAGGTAATACACTCATACACATAAAATAAAAATAAGAAATACATAAATAAATAAATAAATGGACAAATTATAAACAAGCCGATTTCATTTTTAAAACTGGGGAAATATGCATTATTCCTTATATAAATCTTCATTCACAATGTCAGTCTACAATGTTGAGCAAATATCCCATCACACCTTGACAGGGAGTGTTTCACTACCTTCTGGAGCTTCAAGGGTCTTCTTGTTCTGCTGACACCACCCAATGGGGTAGAGGCCAGCCTTCCTGATGTCACACCAGAAGTCTGCTCTTCGGTCCTCCCCATAGCCCTCGTAGCGGAGCAGGAGCAACTGCTCACAGGCGGTGATGACGGTGGCAACCCAGTAGGTTTCAGGGTCTGATCTCACAGCCAGCTCCAGTTTCATTCCAGGAACAAATCCATTTTGCAAACGTATGTCCACCTGAAGAAGGAGATGTTTTGAGATGCTAGACAAATATACGATATGAGTGCTCTGTCCAAAACAATTTGTAAAGACCTAACATTTCTGAAGAACTAAATATAGTAAAATTTTCTTAAGGTTAAAGAAGGAAAAATAATTTTAATCTTCTAAAGGGAAACCTGAGAAATTCCAGCTCAAGTACAAAACAATGATCTAAACAAACCAGAAGTAGTCACTATGCTCTGTTCCACATGACAAAGATGGAACTTGGTATTTTCAACAAAGCAATCTATGTGATTACAGAAAGTGCATTCTAGAAAGCAAATACATTACTAAACAGTCACATCTTAATAGTCATCACCAAGTTTTCAAGAGAGATTTCTAAGCATCCCTTTAGTCCCAGTATTCAGAAAGCAGGCAGGCGGGTCTCTGTGAGCTCCAAGCCAGCGAGGGCTACACAGTGAGAGCCTCTGTCCAAAAAAAAAGCATGATTTCTACATAGCTCAACAAAAAATTAAGGAAGATAGGGAAATGACGGAAACTCAGTAACAACAATAAATTAGTAATATAATGTACTATATGTAAGGAGCCATACTTATAAATAAATAAAAATATATTTATATACTTTATAAATATATGAATAAAAATTTTAAAAAATATGTGTGTCCATGTGTATGTTCATGGCTGCACTTGTGTGTGACCAGAGGACAACCTCAGGTATCATCCTCAGGAACACCATTCACCTCCTTTGAGACAGGGTCTCACTGGCTTGGAGTTCATCAATCATAGTAGAATAGTTACTTTCAACCTTGGTATTTTTTTTTTAAGTTTCCTTTTTACGTATGTGAATGTTATAACTGTATGTGTACCCAGGTCATGAAGGTCATGTAGTGCTGGCAGAGGACAGAAGAGGGCGTCCAATCCCTTGGAACTGGAGTTACTAATAGTTGTTAGCTGCCATGTGGTTATTGGGATTTGAACCTAGGTACTCTCCAAGAGCAGCCAGTGCTCTTAACCACTGAGCCATCTCTCTAGCCCTGAGAAGCTTTTTTTTTTTTTTTTTGAAGACGGCGGCAGTCAATGTAGAGACTCATAACTGGTCAAAGTACTGATAATAAGTGATGGAATATTCACCTTAAACGGGACATTTATATCAATCCTTGTCTCAACACTCAGGGAACATCACACAAGAGGGGGCACAAAGAATGTTAAGAACTGTAGGATGTGGAGAAGTGCTGTAAGACACTATCTTCTGGAGGTGACATGGCTGTCGCATTCATGAACTCACAGCAGCTGCTGTTGCATGCATAAGACCTGCACTGAGCTGGAGCAAATCAATAATCCAGTTAGATAGGGGAGGGGCATATGAGGTCTCAGTCCTGGCTCAGGAGCTATTAGCAGTTCAAGGCTGTTGGGGAAGGGAGTCATTTTTCTTCAGGGGTATAGTCACTGGTAAGTTGCCCATGATACAGTAAATAACCCCACACCTATGCATATGCAAGCAACCATAATTAAATGCAGTGGTTATTTTGGGGGCTGGAGAAATTGCTCAGCAGTTAAGAGCACTGGCTATTCTTGCAGAGGACCTGGGTTCAGTTCCCAGCACCCACATGGCAGCTAGCAACCATTCATAACTCCAGTTCCAAAGGATCCAACATTCTCTTCTGGCCTCTGTGGGCACTGCACAACACAGGTTCACTTACATTCATGCAGGCAAAACACTCATACACATAAAATAAAAATAGATAAATCAAGGGGCTGGAGAGATAGATGATTTAGCAGTTAAGAGCACTGATTGCTCTTGCAGAGGACCCAGGTTCAGTTCCCAGCACTTGCATGGCGGCTAACAACTGCCTAACACCCTCTTCTGACTTCCACAGGCATTGCAATGATGGGTGCACTTACATACATGCAGGCAAAATACTCGTATGCATAAAATAAAAATAAACTAATAAAATTTAAAAATAGTATCTACCTGTGCTGGAGAGCTTTAGTGTCAACTTGACATACCTGGGTTGAGGGAACCTCAATTGGGGAATTGCATCTATTGGACTGGCCTGTGGCCATGTCTGAGGGACATCTTCTTGATGAGTGATGTGGGAGGGCCCAGCCCACTGTGGGTGGTGCCACCCATGGGCAGGTGGGCCTGTGTTGCATAAGAAAGCAGGCTGAGCAAGGGCCAGGGAAGCAAGCCAGTAAGCAGCGTTCCTCTATGGCCTGTGCTCCAGCTCCTGCCTCCAGGTTCCTGCCCTGAGTTCCTACCTTGGGCTCCTGGATGAACTGTGACCTGGGATATGTAAGCTAAATAAACCCTTTCCTCCCCAAGTTGGTATTGGCCAGAGTATTTTGTCATAGCAATGAAGAAAACAAACCAGAACAAGGTCCTAGGTTTGATTCTTAGCACCAAAACAACAACAACAAAACCAAACAATCAAACAACAAATACAGTAAGCATATACTGGATATTACTGTTTTTCTGTTTTTTTATTTATTGCCTTGCTTTCTGTTCATATTTTTGTCTTCTATACATTTTCTACCTTTTGTGGGTTTTTTTTTTTTTTCGGTCTTTTTGAGACAGGGTCTCCTTGTAGCCCCAGCTGTCCTGGAACTCACTGTAGACCAGGATAGCCTCGAACTCACTATGTAGACCAGGGTGGCCTCGAACTCACAAAGATCTGCCTGCCTTTGCCTCCCGAGTGCTGGGATTAAAGGCATGCACCACCATGCCTGGCCCTTTTGTGGTTTGTAAATGGGCATTTTAATAATTCATTTTATCCTCCTCCATAGTATACCAAGTTCACTTAAATTTTTTTGGTTTTGGGGGGGTTTGAGACAGGGTCTCCCTATATCCCCAGCTGGCCTGGAACTCACTCTTGATCAGGACTGAACTTTATCTCACAGAGATCCACCTGCCTCTGCCTCCTAGGTACTGGGATTAAAAGTGTGTGCTACCACACCTGGCTCAGATCTACTTTTGAAGTAACATTAGACTATTTCCTGGGTAGTTTTAGTACCTTATGATGATAAAGTAATTCTAATTCCTCTCTCTCTCTTTTTTTTTTTTTTTGGTCTTTTTGAGACAGGGTCTCCCTGTAGCCCCAGATGACCTAGAACTCACTATGTAGTCCAGGCTGGCCTCAAACTCACAGAGATCCACCTGTTTCTGCCTCCCAAGTGCTGGGACTAAAGGTATGTACCACCACGCCCAGCTTAGTTCCTCTTATATCCGGTGTCATTCATTTCACTTACATGCAGGTACGCATAAGAATATACTTATACATAAGCATCCATAATCTAATATATTGCTGTTATTATCTTCAATAAACTTATTTCAACTAAACAATGAAAATTAAACACTTTAATTTTGTGCCTTCTATTCCTTCTCTTAAGCACTTCTCTTCTCTGCACTTCCTTCAGAAATCATGCAGGCAGAAAAGACCAGAGTGAAATACTTAAAACATTAAAAGCAAAAAGCACCAACCCAGAATTCAGAATTGAGAAAAACTGTCTGCTGAAAATGAAGGAGATGGGGTTGGAGAGATGGCTCAGCAGTTTAGAGCACTGGCTTGCTCTTGCAGAGGACCTGGCTTAGATTCTCAGCACCCACATAGCAGCTAACAATCATCCATAACTCTAGTTCCAGGGGATGTGATGGGCTCTTCTGGACTCTGCAGGCATTGCACAACACAGGTATACTTACATACATGTATGCAATATACTCATACATATAAAATTTTTTTAAAATATTTTTTAATGAAGGAGACATACTTAAAAATTAAGGAAGCTTTTTACCAGTCGACATGCCTTACAAGAAATACTTATAAAATCCTTTAGACTACAGGGACTGAACTCAGATTACCTGGTTTTTGCAGCAACTGCCTTTACCCACTGAGCCATTTTGCTGCCCCCTCTACAACGTATATTGATCATATCCAATCCAAATCCTTCTTCTGACTCCTCTTGGACTACCCTCCCAACTTCATGTCCTCCTCTTTTTTTTAATAACCCACTGAGTCCAATTAGTATTGATTGCTGGTCTGTGTATGTGGGCCACCCAAAAAGAAGTGGCAACCTACCAGTGGCCACACCCCAAAGAGAAATGACTTCTCTCCCCTGGCAGCTATCAGTTGCCAATATCTACTTAGGTGGGGGTGGAGCCTGATGAGCCCCTATTCATCAAATGTTGAGCAGCTTGATCTTGCACTGACAACCACAGCTGCTACAAATTCATGAGTATAACCCACCACACATCCAGAAGACAGCATTTTGTATCATTCTTCCCCAATCGCCAGTTCTTACATTCATCTCTCTTCTGTAATGTTCTCTGAGCCTTGAGTTGAAAGAGTTGATATAAATGTCCCACTCAGAGTGACTTATTCTCACTTTGATCAATTATAAGTCTCTGCACTAACTGCAGCCCACTGCAAAAAGAAGTTTCTCTAACCAAGACTGAGAGCATCAGTAATCTATGCATATAACCAAAACTATTTAAAAGGCAGTTTGACAACATACCCATTTAGCAGAACAATAGTTAAGTTCCCCATTACAAGCTATGATTTCCTCAGTCATGGGCTTGTGACCAGGTGTATAGTACCAGGCATAAATTTCCTCCTGTGAAGTAGGCTTCAAATACAACCAGAAAGTCCCTAATTACTCCCCTAACAGCCATGCCACTACTGCGCTAATAGGCACATTTTCCCTGACAGGTCAGTATTATAGCATGTGGAGTCCATCTCTGGGTGAGTCCTTTGATGACTTCTAGCACTATGAAAGCTAGCCAGCAGGAAGCTTCTAGGTCAGTTCTAGCTTGACTTCACTATGCTCTACAACCAGAGAGTGTTATGTCTTCAGCAACAGAGTCTACCTATGGTAGGCAAACAAGAGCAATGACAATACCTTGTGCTATTTTAAAGGCCTCTGGGATGCCTTGACCAATAACTCACAGAGAAGTGTTATGACTTCAGCAACAGAGTCTACCTACGGTGGGCAACCAAGAGCAATGACAATACCTTGTGCTATTTTAGAGGCCTCTGGGATACCTTGACCAATAACTCACAGAGAAGAATTTCATGCCTGGTACTCAGATTTTCATTTGGTAACCTGTATCTTCTGGGGGACACAGACTTCCATTCAAATGCCGTCTTAAAACTATACATATATTTGCTGGGCGTGGTGGCGCACGCCTTTAATCCCAGCACTCGGGAGGCAGAGGCACGTGGATCTCTGTGAGTTCAAGGCCAGCCTGGTCTACATAGTGAGTTCCAGGACAGCTGGGGCTACAGGGAGACCCTGTCTCAAAAAGAACCCCCAAAAATATATATACATATATTTAATATTGGCTAAAGATTTGCTATATGTACCCTTTCTTATGCTTAGATATGTTCCTTCTATTACAAATTTCTTTATAATTTTTAACATGAAAGGATATTGGATTCTGTCAAATGTTTTCTGCACTTATCAAAATGACCATGCAATTTCTGTCCTTTAGTTCATTTATAAAATTTATAACATTTACTGATTTACATATATTGAATCATTCTTGTATCTCTAGAATAAAGCCAACTCAACCACATTGAATGATTTATTTCATGTGTTCTTGAATCTGTTTGCCAGTAATTTTCATTCTATTTGTACTCCCCCCTTTGCAAATATGTATAAAACTTTTTCTTTTTTGTCACAGGGTCTCCCTATAGCCACAGCTGGCCTGAAATTCACCAAGTTGACCAGGCTGACCTCGATCTCAGAGCTCCACCTGCCTCTGCCTCCTGAGTGCTGTGCACCATCATGCCCAGCTAAAATTTTCTTAATAAGAAGAAAAGGAAAAACCATTTAAATTCTTTCAAGTGTCATAACTAAAAATAATTCTAAATTTTCTCATGACAACACAATGATTAAAAGGAAAAGGTTTCTGCCTACATGCTTAAATGATGCATAGGGAATTGCAGTAGATCCCGTCTCTTCTAGATAATCTTCCCAGCTTAATTCCACTTCCTCTACACCAGACCCAGCATCTGCAATTAAAAACAAAAGAAGAAGAGAAAAAATAAAAAACCCATCATTTGACATGTTCTTTCTGAGGAGACAATAAATCTGAAGTTCATGCAAATGCATCACTTGAGCTAATGGAGTAAAAAACTATTCAGATCACTCTGGACTTAAATATAGTATCTAAGACCAAGCATTTAGGATGCTTAACTGACATTTAAAACTTAAATTCTGCACCTGATTCTAAGCATTCTACAGCTGAGTAAAAATACTACTAGTTAATATTTTCACTCACTCCAGAAAGTGTGAACTTACTTTTGTTTTCCCTCCCTTATATCCAACCCATTATATTAATAAAACATATCCTAAATCTAGCCACTTCTCACCGTATCTATTGCTATCTCTAGAACAAGGCCTATCTACTGTATCTTTTACCTTTCACTTATACTTACATAAGATCTAAGATTTTTGGAAGACTACAAAGGTCCTACAGAATCTGGTCTAACCTACTTTTTACTAAATAGGCTTTTATTGCTCATGCATTCAGGTAACAGTGGGTTTCTTGCCTCTATCCCCAAGTTTGAGGCAAGATCATATCATGTATCCAAATTCAGTATGTAGCCCAGGCTGGCCTTAAATTGGCAATCCTCCTGCCTTTGCCTCCCAAGTGCTAGGCTTACAGGTATGTAGCACCATGCCATTTCTTGTCATTCTTTCTGCCAGGTCTCTAACATTTGCTCTTAGATCAAAGGCTTTTCTTCTAGGGGAATCACATCTCTATTTCAGTCAAATGCTGATTCTACTCAAATGCTGACTCTTCAGAAAAGCCTTTCACCAGTGCAAATCTAAACATAACTGTCTCTATTAATTTCATTTGTCATTCCTAATTTGACTAGTACATGGTATGTCTTTTTATCTTCCCTGCTAGATCATAAATTCTATAAAGATGTATTTTTTAATGATCACTTCTGTATCTTTATTATCTGACTCAAAACACCTGGTATATATTAGACAGCCAATAAACATTTACTGAGTAATGAAATATTCAAATACCATGTAATCCAATAATCCTACTTCATATGAGCTCTTTAGAAGCAAGGATGGATCTTTTAAAAATTGTATTTATTTTATGTATATGAATGTTTTGCCTGCATGTATGTTAAGTACACCCATATCATGGAATGCCCACAGAGGCCAGAAAAGGGTGTAGGATCCCTTGGAACTGGAGTTTGAGACATCTGTTAGCCAGAATGTGGGTGCTTAGAACTCACAAGCAGTGCTCTTAACCACTGAGCTACCTCTCCAGACCCAACTGTTTATGCCCATAGATTGGTGCTACTGTTGCTTTAGTCAGAGAAGCTGCTTTTTGTAGTGGCAGCAATTACTACAGAGACCCTTAATTGGTCAAAATGTTGAGAAGAAATACCTGCATGCTTAGACCTAAGTGGTCTAAGATATTATACTCTCTGAGGCTCAGTGAACATTGTAAAGGGGTCGGAGGAGGGGTGTAAAAAGACAGAAGAGATGAAATGTTGTAGAATGCTGTCTTCAGGGCATGATATGGTTACTGCACTCATGAACTTACACCAACATTCCAGAATATAAAGGAGAAGGGTTCATAAGGCCTGATTCTCCAGGAGGATTCATAGGCAATTAATGGTTGCTAGTGGAGGAATAGACATTTTCTTCAGTGATGTAGCCACTTAAGTTGCCCAAGCTCCTGTAAATATCCTCACCCATGCTCTTTCAAGCAATGCTAATTAAACATGAAAGTAAACAAGGGTCTAGTTCAAAGAGGAAGGGGATCAGTAGGAGAGGAAAGGGATCAACAGGAATAGAAAGGGGAAAAGAGAGAGCAACAGGGAATTAATAACATCAAAATATAGTATATACAGGTATGAAAATGTCATAATGAAACCCACTATTATATATAATTAATATACACTAAGAAAAATTTTAGAAGAACATAAAATGGTATAGGCACTCTGGATAGAAGTCTAACAGTTTTGTCACTAAACCTATCATTTAAAAATTGCACTCAAGACTGTGGAGTGCTGGGCCCTAAATGGAACATCTATATCACAGTCCCTCCCTGCCAAGGCTCAGGGATCATGAAATTGTGACTTCATGCACAAGACCTACACAAGATCAAGCCAGTCAAAATTCCAGCATGGACACAGGAAGGGTTTATAAATTCCACCACTAGCCAAGGAACTCTTGGCAACTGATGATTGCTAGGGGAGGAAGAGTAAGTTTTCTTCAGATGCAGCCCAATAGGATGCTCATGCTCCAGAAGATGGTCCTACATCCATGTGCATGCAGGAAGTACTAAGTGGATTCAGTGACTTTAAAAAAGAGAGTATGAAGTTGGGATACAAGAGTGATAGGGGGTATAGGAGGCCTTGGAAGAGAGGGAGTAGGGAGTGAATCTGGTCAAAACACATTATATTCATGTGTGAAATTCTCAATCCATAAATTGAATTTTTTAAAATGTCACTCATAAGCCCACCATGGTGATGCCTGACTTTAATCCCAGGACTGGGGAGGCAGAGGCAGGAGGATCTCTGTGAGACAGAGGCTAGCCTGGTTTACATAGTGAGTTCCAGGCCAGCTGGGACTATAAAAAACCCTGTCTCAGAAAGACAAAAAATGGGGGAGGGGCACCCATTTGCCTTTATCCCCCACAAAATGAAATATTATGTCTGTAATTATTCATACTTATTTATAACAGCCAAAAAATTGGAATAATCAAAATGTACTAATAGGTGGGTAGTTGATCAAAGTGCAATACAATCATGGAATCTGACTCAGCAGTAAAAAATAGCAAACTACAGCCAGCAAGATGGCTCAGTATGTAAAGGCACTTGCCACCAAGCCTGATGACCGAAGTTCAATCCCCAGGACCCATATAGTAAAAGGAGAGAACAAATTCTCACACCTTATCTTCTGATCTCCATGTGTGCCATGCTGTGTATATCCATATATACATCCACACATACATTAATTATAGTAATTTTACTTATGAGACATTCTTTTTTTCTTGATTTTTTTATGATTTTCATATAATATAATTTGATGGTATTTAGACTCCCTCCCTAGCTGTACCTCCCCTTATTGCCCCTGCCCAATTTAATGTACTCTATTAGAGGCCTATAGAGTCTAATTTGTGTCTGCAAATGTCCTTCAGTATGGGTTTATCCACTGAAGGCTGGTTAACCTACCAAGGGTCCCATGCTTGAAAGAGACTGTCTCTGCCCCTCCCAGAAGCCCTCTGTTGATACAAATTTCCTTAGATGGGGTTGGAGCTTCTTACCCACTTCCTCATGTCTGTGCTAGGATTCTGACTGGCTTGGGCTTGCATGGGACTTATGCAGGCCATCACAATTTGCTGTGAGTTCATATGAGTAACTGATCAGCTGTCTGGAAAACTGTTTCCTGTGGTTATTCAGCACCTTTGGCGTCCTCTTCTACAACAATCCCTGAGCCTTCAGATGCAGAAGTTTAATACAGGTATCCTATTCAGGGATAAGCAGCCTGGAGCTTATGAGGCATTCTTTTTAAAAAATATCTTATTATTTTTATTTTATGTGTATGTGTGTATTGTCTGAATGTGTATAAGTGCACCGGTGTTGTGCAATGCCCATGGAGGTCAGAAGAGGGTGTCGTATCCCCTGGAACTGGAGTTACGGACAGTTGTTAGCTGCCATATGGGTTCTGGGATTCAAACCTGAGTCTTCCGCAAGAACATTCAGTGTTCTTAACCACTGTACCATCTCTCTAGCCCCATGAAGCATTCTTTAAATGACAAAATTATTGAGATAGAGAACATATTCGTAATTACCTGGGGTTAAAAAATGTAAGGAGAGGCCGGGCGTGGTGGCCCACGCCTTTAATCTTAGCACTCAGGAGGCAGAGGCAGGCAGATTTCTGTGAATTCAGGGCCAGCTGGGGCTACAGGGAGACCCTGTCTCAAAAAAAAAAAAAAAAGTAAGGAGAATAGGCTGGAGAAATAGATCAAGAGCTAAGAGCACTGGCTGTTTCTTGTACAAGACCCAGGTTCAATTCTCAGCACTCACATGGCTGCTAAAATCCATCTCTAACTCTAGTTCCAGAGGATCTGATACCCTTTTCTGGTCTCTGTGGGCATTACATATATGTAGTTCACTTTGTGCAGGCAAAACACTCATACACATGAAATAAAAATAAGCAATTTTTAAAAACATAGGGAGAAAAAGGGATAGGTATGGCTCTTCATGGTGACAGAACAGTTCTGTATCTTGACCTGAGGTAAGTTATAGAAGTCAACATGTGTGACAAAATAACAGAACAAAACACTTCATACCAATATCCATTTTCTGGATTTTATGTCATACTATAGTTACATAAGATTAACTAATGGGAGAATGGGAGAAACTATGTGAAAGGAACATGAGACCTAATGACACTATCTTTAAAGCTTTCCAGGAACCCATAAATTATTTTAAAACAATTACAAAGTAACTTTCAAAATCCAAATATAATTACAAAAAGAAGTCTGTTCATAAAAATCACTTATTTTTCAAACACTAGGAGTAGTAGCAGTCCCTTGTGTCAGATTCTCTGTCAGGTGCAAGAGATGTGGACGAAAATGTATGATTTCAAAGGGCTTCCAGTTTAGTGGTAGAAAAGACAAGCAAGATAATATAATACAGACAATTAATACAAGCCTGCAGTCTGGAGAATGAATACAGCAGAACCAATACCTGCATCAAGCTGCTGTTCCCCGTTCATCTCCACAGCACCTGGGCTATCTCCTTCCCACACAAAGAAAATGCTGGGGAATCTGCTACAACACGAATGTGATCTGAAGTTCCAAGTGTCTGTCCAGTGGGCATCCAAGGGTCTAAATGAAAATGCTGAGAAATAGGAAAGACATAAACATGGTGAAGCTCAAATGTGTTTACTTATTCATAAGACATGGCATTTGGCTGGGTTGAGAAGTAAGATAAAACAAAAACACTGATAGGAGAGATGGGATTACAAGAAAAAAATGAGACCTTTTCTAATTTTGAAGTTTGTCTGGTGAGTACATATATACAGGTGTGTGTGTATAAGGGAAAACTGTCAAAACCCTAAGATATCTTCGTATCTAAAGATTACAATAAATTAACACGTATAGGAGTCCTATTTCTTAAACTTAGATTACTATAGTTAGTACTATGCTTCCTATCCACAACACTGCTAATTCTTCCTACCCATAAAACTTTAATTCTTGGAGCTCAGTGGTTAAGAACACTGACTGTTCTTGCAGAAGATCCGAGTTCGAATCCCAGCACCCACATGGCAGCTAACAACTGTCTGTAACTCCAGTTCCAGGAGATCCGACAGCCTCTTCTGTCCTCCGTGGGCACTGCACGACATGGGTGCACTTACATACATGCAGGCCATACACGCATACACGTAAAATAAAAAAAATAAAACCCTTAATTCTTAAGAATCCCCCACAAGCCCTAGACCCATTTGCTTATTTACTTATTTATTTATGTATTTATTTACTGTTTCTTGAGACAGAGTCCCCCCCTAGCCCCAGACAGCCTGGAACTTGCTATGTAGATCAGGCTGACTTTGATCTCACAGATCTGCCTACTACTGCATCCCTGAAAGCTGAGATTAAAGGTGTGCACCACCATGTTGGCCCTGACCCTGTTTATTTTATGTTTATTGCCACCACATCTCTATTTTTAAAACAGCTCTATTGGAGTACAATTCATGCACCAAAATTTCTTAATTGAAATGTACGATCTAGTAACTTTTATTAAATTTGCAGAGGATTTAAATATTACCATAAACCAGTTTTAGAATATTTTTGTGTTCTGAAAATAAGCTTCATGCTCATGAGGCAGTCTTCCTTACTCATCCTTGGGTGCAAGCCACCACCAATGCACTTTCCAGCTCTAGAAATTTTGCCTTTCCTGAAGACTGTGTATAAATGCAGTAAGGGGTCTTTTATGTCTGGCTTCTTTCACTTGGCATGTTTTTAAGACCCATCCATGTTGCAGAATGGATGAATATATTTATTCATGCTATCTATACTTGTGAACTAATGTAAGATATTATGTTGAGACATGCCTAACACTAGAAAAATAAATGAAAAGTGAGTTACTACAGAAAGGCATGACAGTGAAGAGCAGGAGGGAAATTACTTGATCTTTTTAAAAAGGAACACTCTTTAGCCACATTGAGAATAGTATGTGAGCAAGAGCAGAACCAGAAAGATTAACTTGTTGTTGTTGTTGTTTCGGTCTTTTTGAGACAGGGTCTCCCTGTAGCCCCAGCTGTCCTGGAACTCACTATGTAGACCAGGCTGGCCTTGAACTCACAGAGATCCACGTGCCTCTGCCTCCCGAGTGCAGGGATTAAAGGCGTGCACCATCACGCCCGGCAGAAAGATTAACTTTTAACTTTAAAGACCTTGGAAGAGTCAAGGTGAGAGGTACTAGGGCCTAGGTCCAGGACAGTGAAAACATGAAGGAAGGAGAAGATGGACATGGAGCCTAAGTTTTTGGCCTAAACAAATGGAAGGATGGATCTGTCGTGAAAAAGGGAAAACTGGTGTGTGTGTGTGTGTGTGTGTGTGTGTGTGTGTGTGTGTCCATGTGCACATGCCATGGCACCAACATGGAGATCAGAGGACAACTTTTGGGAGCCGATTCTCTTCTTCCACTATGTGAGACCAGGGATTTCACTCAGGTCATCAGGCCTAGCAGCAAGCACCTTTAACCACTCACTGAGTCATCTCCCTGGCCCTAACACTTTGTAGATCATATCTTACTGTGATTTTCAGGGGGTTCCCAGACCTCATCCCTGGTTTTCTCCTCTCTCAGTATTCTTCCTTTTGTGGGGTGCTGTCTATGCTGAGAGGAACACATTCACAACTATTTATGAGGTGGCGACAACCAGGTTACTTCTTAGGACTCAGAACTTTTGGGTAATTTTAGTTTATGGTCTGTTTCTTGAACATCAAAAACATTTGGAGGGCTTTATTTTAGGTTTCTGTTTTATTCTATCTGCAGCTTGGCTCCTGCAGTGAAATAAACTAAGTTTATTACTCGAGGTTGGCTTCTGTGATCCTTTTAAGGTACTAACCATCCCATTGCCAGTTGATTGGTATAAATTAACTAAATTAACCAAATTTCTGAGAGTGTCTGGTCAGTCTACAAGATGTCAAATTTAGTTGTATGACCTGTTTCTTGATCATGATATCTGACAGCCATCTTTGTGTTTTATGAGTTTCAAGAAAGCCTGAAAACATACAAAGACTGGGAAAATTCCAGTGTTCCTGCTGCTTCCTAATTCTATAACTGACAGGTTATTTAATGTCTCTGAGCCTCAGCCTCCTTACCTGTAAAATAAAACTATCATATATGGATTAAGCAGAGTAGTTAAGATGATAGAATACTGTTAAAATACAGTTATGCAGCTAGACTTTTCATGCATTGGGCACTATTCTGTATGCCTGATAATTTGCTATTTAACATACAAAAATTGCCAGTGACAAGCAAGTTGGGTACCCAAACTTTATTATGTTAAAGTTTTATTTTAATTACATGTATGTCTGTTGGAATATGTGTGGGTATGTACATATGAGTCTAGGTACTCAAAGAAGCCAGAGGCGTTGGATATCCTGAGAGCTAGTTACAGGCAGTTGAGAGCTCCCTGACATTGTTGTTGGAAATTGAAACTGGGTCCTCTAGAAGAACAGTACATGCTCTTAACTGCTGAGCCATCTCTCCAGCCCAAATTTTATTATTTTTATTTGATAAAATATTATCTGGTCACAGTGGAGCACACCTTTAATCCCAGCACTCTGGAGGCAGAGACAGGTGGACATTTGTGAGTTCCAGGTCTACATAGTGAGTTCCAAGCCGGCTAGGGCTACAGAGAGAGCCTGTTTTTTGTTGTTTTTTTTTTTTTAAAAAAAAAGCAAACCGGGCGTGATGGCGCACACCTTTAATCCCAGCACTTGGGAGGCAGAGGCAGGTGGATCTCTCTGAGTTCAAGGCCAGCCTGGTCTACATAGTGAGTTCCAGGACAGCTGGGGCTATAGGAAAACCCTGTCTCAACCGCCTCCCCCCAAAAAGCAAGCACAACCTAAGAAGCCATGCTCAACACCCAATAATGAACAAGTGTAAGTCATTTAGAGAAACCATATATTATATAGAAAACAACTCTTCAATAGCTTTTATTTATTTATTTATTTAATTAATTTATTTTATTTTTGTCTTTTTGAGACAGGGTCTCCCTGTAGCCCCAGCTGTCCTGGAACTCACTATGTAGACTAGACTGACCTTGAACTCACAAAGATCCGCCTGCCTCTGCCTCCCAAGTGCTGGGATTAAAGGCGAGTGCCACCATGCCCGGCCTTCAATAGCTTTTAAATAAGGCTTCTAGAAAAAGAGTGAATCTCTTTTTATTACAAAAGACACATTGTAAAACATGTTAAATGTGTAAAATAATTCAGTGCAAAAAACTAAACAGACATAAGAGAAGAAAATGGCCTAAATTGTGCTAATTAATTAGGGATCTAACTGAACTCATATGCAAGGTGTAAAACTAAAACTCTCACTGTAAGAACAGCAGTCTATTTACAAGATACTTTTGTTTGGTCATTTTTAGAGTTAAATGCACTTTATTTTTTGTTTTTATGGACTTCACATGCTAAATATATTTTTAAAAATTTGTTAAATTTCTACACCTTTTAACCACCACCATCAACAAATGACCCTCTCTACCTCCACTTTTCTATTCTTTCCCTAAAGACAATTTAGAATTTACCCTATATCATTGAATTATTCTGGCAAACTTAAACATAAAGACTTCCAATTTTCTAAGATTAGGATTTACCAGTTCTTCTTTCTAGAGCTAAGTACAAAATTATCTATATAATTTTCAATCCTAGCCAGATGAAGTGGCACACACCTTTGGTCCTAGCACTCTGGAGGCAGAGGCAGATGGATCTCTATGAGACTGAGGCCAGCCTAGTCTACATAGCCAGTTCCAGTTGAACTGAGGTTACAGGGAGACCCTGTCTCAAAAGGACCAATAATAATAATAATAATTATTATTATTATTATTATTTTCAATCCTTAATAATATTGTCTGTGCTGACAATATCTTCATGCTTTATCAGAAACATGTTTTTCATAA